GATTTCAGCTCCGGGAAAGCCTCTCTCGCCCTCGCCCTGCGGCAGTGCGGGCGCTAACGGGAGCAGCGAAAAGGATTCCCTCGCTTCCCGGAGCTCTCCGCCGCTTCAGGCTCCTTCCCGGCCCGAGGAGTCCCACGGGTTGTGCCCGCGGAGCTCAGGCACCGCAGTTAGGTCTCACAGAACCCTCCCCTGAAGGACATTCACTCGGAGGTGATGATCAAGGAAAGATGTCTAAACGTGCTCATTTCTAACCCAGGAGAGGGAGGACAAGAGACTAAGCATCGATCTGTTCCCCGGAGGAAGCAAAGGGCATGTACCAGTCACTTGTGACCTCCCATCACTCTACTCCACAAAAGAAGTGAGCACTGTGCTCCTCACCCACAAAAGGTGATGCCAAGTTTGGGACTAATAACTGATTCTTTCAAAAAAGACTCTTAGAAATGGCAACATCACGTAACAGTTAAATGGACTTTAATTCCTTCAAACAGAAGGATAGCTGAGAGGTACATCAGAGAAACGATTTGATTTCAGTCTCTTAAAAAAAAAAAAAAAGTGGCATAGCTTCCAAATTCAGGAACAATTTCCAATGAACAAAGCACTATCCTTATGCACCTGGTTCAGTGTGGTACAAAGCACTTACAGATTCAAATGTCATAAATGACTGAGAAATCGATTCAGATAATGTTTGTTTACAGGGACAGAAACTATGTTGACAAGTATGAATAAGTACACAGATAATCTGTTTAAAAAACCCAAACCTTTCTCACTGTATTTACACACACAGACGTATTTGTTTCCCTTGGCACTAGAAATTACAGACATAAGATTCCATTTTATAGCAATTAAACCTGAAATAAAAATAACCTTTGAGTCAGTTCAGTCAAACAGCCCCAGCACAGTAGCTTCACCTTTAGTAAACTGCTGCCAACTCTGTATTCCAAGCCTGGAAATTCAGGCCACAGAGCCTGAAGCTTCCACCTGTGACAAATTTCACTTGGCAGGATGAACTGGATGTGAGGAGCTCAAGCAGTGTGGAATGAATGAATCTCCCATCACTATCCAAGGTGGATATCTGCCTTTAAAAGCTCTTTGTATGCACACAAAATAAACCAAGGCAAAAAGGGACACCCGTTCCACATAGTCAGCCAAATGAGACACTAAGTGAACCCCCAGAGCACCGAGTATGCTGTAGGATTCCTTCAGCACTGCCCAGAGAGGTGCTAATCTCCACCCCTTTCCATGCTAGAGAAAATACTTAAGAGAACACTTAACTAATATGGTTATTCTTTTACCATTTAGTTTACTCTTTAGCCAGGAGTAAACCCTGAAGGTTCACAGGAGATTCAGTATTGTCAGTACAGTAGCAAGAGCATTTTGGCACCCTGTAAAATCCTAAAGAATGTGCAAGAAAAATCTCTTAAGTAGCACTGAATTCTCCAGACTTCTCCTTTCTCATTCCTAGTACTTGACTGTACAGAGCCTGAAGCTTTGATTACTTTGAAACAAATTTTTATAGGTTTTCTGCTCGGAACCAACAGAGGTGGAACAACAGCAGCACAAGATTTTTCCTAAAGCACTCAAGACTAGCAGAAGATTCTTTTCCTTGAGGAACCACAATTAGGACTACATAAAAATTAAGCAATGAGGCATCATGGCAAGTGAGAGCACATCAACCTTCTGCCACAGCAGGAAGCAATTCTCAATCTTCCAACCAAAAGGAATCAAAGGAAAAAGACTTATAAATTATAGGACTTGATAGGTTTTGCTCCTTCTCTCTCTCTAGATGGTGAGAAACCATCACTAATCAACTCTGGGCTCTGCTCTGGGAGCAGGATCAGGGCAGAGGCTTTTGTGCAGATGGAATAAAGTACATGGTTGTCTTATTTTTGCATCGAACGCATGGGACTGGACGTGGCATTGTCTCTGCTAACTGGCCTGAGGCCAAGCTGGACCACACACTTACAGAGTGTTTTCCCTCACACATGTTATTTGTGCACGTCTCAACCAGAGATTTGATCTCGTTCTGCCAAGTGTATTCTTAACCATAAAGAAAAAAGCTGAATTTGACTATAGCAAATTGTGTGAGGAAAAGGACTCAGAAAACATAGAAATCTTCCCAAAGACAAATCTTCTCTAAGACAAATCTTCAAAAACCAAAAAAAGAAGAGCTGTTAGAATCTCAGATTAGCTGATAAAACTTTCAGTATTTCAAAAGCAAAGCATGTTAAAACAATTTCCAGTACACTTGGTGAACATTAGTACCAACAACCTCCCTGTGAGAATATGACAAACTTCTCCAACACAACCTCTTCCAATACAGTGTATCCAAAGCACATCCACATGCTGTGATCAATGAGAGAGCAGTGAAGGAACAACTTTTTACACAGGAGCTTCCCTAGGAATCTTGCTCTGTGGAAAAGCCCCAAATCAGCTTGCACTGAAGGTTTATTTTCAGCTGAAGAGATCTACAAAACCACTCACATCTTATTCTGAGAGCTCTTGGTCTCTTTATTCTGGGCTTGCCCAGCAAACCTGTGTACTGGGGATACAGTACTGCAAGTCGCTACTTGAAAACTCTGAGAATCAAGTGATTTTTCTTTCTGCACTAGGAACATAACCCTGTGTGTTCACAGCACACTCTGCCTCAGCCAGGCAGCACAGAGTGTGCAGCAGCAACTGCCCAAGGAAACACTCCATGTGTACTGAGACAGGGGAAACCACACGAAGTGATTACCAAGCCACACAACAACCACAAGGCTGCACTGCACTACAGAAACACTGACCAGATGCCCCTAAAAATGCCAGTTCTGACCAGGGTATTAACCCAGTTTTTCAGTGAAGACCCATCAGCCCCTTTGTGTACACATTTAGTTTTATTGTAACAAAGCAACTTGTACACTTTAACGTTTAAAACTGAGCATCTTTCTTTCCTTTCCAGTGAAACAAAACAAAAAAAAAAACCAAAAAAAAAACCAAAAAAAAAAAAAAAAAAGAAATTTTAAATAAACAAGAACAAAATTACAATAGAGAATGTCAATTCCAAATAAGATCCTACAGGTTCTGCTGATTCTCCATCAAGTGGCAGGGCTCAAAGTCATCATTAGGAGAAGATTTTTATTTTAAAAGTGTCATCTTAAACTGCAAGGATGTTTGTTAAACATCACAATTAAACATGCCAAAGGAGAAGAAGCCATGTTGTCAAAATGCCCACTTAACCCACCCACACCTCCGAAACCCACCCCAGCTCACCTTCTATAACCCCAGGTTTATTTTTATTTTTTTTTTTAGTTTTTTTTTCTTTTTTTTAAACAAGAGAAAGTAGACAGATACATGTTGGTAAATGCTAACTGTCCATATTCACATAGAGACACAGTGTAATCTCTGAGCCCAATATACAGAGAAAGAAGGAAAAAAGCTAGATTCTATGCACTACTACACAGGGGCCTAGCACTCTTCAGCTTCCAGCAGAGTGAAGGGAGCAGAAGGTTTTCTTTTTTCCCACAGAACATGGTGTGTTGATTCCATAAACAGTTTTTGTTTTGTTTGTTGGTTGGTTTTTTTGAGACAGAAAGGGATAAAAATGAACTTGAAACAGAAACTGGTAGATTCTTTTCCACTGTATTCTGCTCAAGGTTATTTCCCCCAAAATAAATGGTGAACCATGGTGTAGAGGAGAGAAAAAGAGACCTCAAGAGAACAAGGCGACTGAGCACAAGAAAAAAAAGACAGCAACTTGCTCCCAGGGACTGGAGAAAAATTAAAAAGGTAAAAAGGGGGTTTGGAATCCATCAGTGTTCAATTAGTCATCTTCTCCTTCATCCTCCTGTTGAAAGATAAGCAACAGTTAAAAACATCTCATTGCTGACCTTCAGGTAGCAAATAGAGTGAGCAGAACTGTACTACCCTACAGTGCTACTCAGAGTGTGCTATAGGACGATGTGTCTTCCTCTGCTCCCTGAGGAGTGCTCACACCTGCCCCGAGTGCTGCTGCCTGCACAGACATCGCTCCACGCCCGAGAGTCAGGTTTGAGAAAGCACAAAATCACTCCAGAATCACTGCAAATGTTAAACTCATCACACTGTAAAGTGAAGGGGTCACCTTGATTCCCTCAGTGCAAACTCTGAACAGCAAAATGCTTCAAGTCTCACGTGCCAAGTTCTGGGTCACAAAACAGAGCCCCATCCCCTGCTGCCCACAGGAACTCTCCTCCCAGCACCTTGTGCTGCTGGAGTCAGACACACCACACCCAGTGACGAGAAACAAAGACCTTCCAAACCAAGCCCCAGCACCGGGGGCTGTCCCTGGATCTCACTCGCTGCACCAAGGGAACTGCCCAGCAGGAGTCCTAGCTAAGCTGCCCACAAGCAGCAATAAGCCAACAGGTGGGAGGATGATAGAACTGGGCACAGCAACACAAGCTAGTTACAAGTAAAGCCTCCTTAGAATGTTCACTAATTAAACAAGAATTTTGCCATGCTGATGTCCTCGTTTTTCTAAAGCACCTCCCTTAAGACATTGACTTAACTACTTACTTGTATTGTCATGTGCACAAACATGACTGTACTGAAACCACTCCACACAGTGGTGAGCTGTGTCTCCCCTCCCAACACTCTGGAGTGCAGAAATGAACCATCTCACCTCTGCCCCAACGGCTCAGTGTCCCTACAAGATCCTCTCACACATCTGATTCTCATACACCAGGAATGGATAGCACAAGGGCAAAATTACTCACCTCTCCTTCCTCACCCTCATCATCATCTTCATCTTCCTCCCCCTCATCTTCATCTCCTTCTTCATCAATATCCTCTAATCCTTCTTCCTCTTCATCATCATCGTCATCCTCCTCTCCCTCCCCTTCCTCATCATCCATGTCAGGAACCTTAAAGACACATTTGCAACATCAACTACAGTGATCCAATTCCCTCTCACCCTCGCAGTGCTGCTGCGGGTGTGGATCACCTCCTCAGGCTGTACCTACCAAGTAGTACTGTAAGGGGTTTGGCCAGATGTCATCCTTGATGACTTCTCCTAGCTCATCAGCCCCTGCATCAGAGTGGTCAGTGAACCAGGTGAAGAAACTTTCTGGCTCTTCATGCTGCCTCTTCCTACTGGCTTTGTTCTGTGTCTGGCTTGAACGTTTTGTCAGGTCCTGTAAAGAAAGTTACCAAGTTCCTTAAAGCCATCAAGCCCTTTTTCTTTCGTGAGCACCACTTAGAAATGTACTTGTCTGAACACCCACAGTAAGTCGATTTCTGTTCCCTCTTTCAGGGTAAGTCTTTAGGAAACATTTGGAACTCAACTCGCAGAAGATGTGCATTTCCCTGGGCACAAGACATCACTAAACCCACATGTTTCTCTTCCTGACCTCCCCTGGAACACTGAACATTCACAGGACCTCACATTTTATTTTCTCCCCTATGCCAGGGAAGCACAAGTTTCGTGACATAATGAAACTTAAGGTCTCACAATGGCTAAATGCTGCTCAGAGCAGCTGGAACTGCAGTTGGATGTACAACCACTACACACACACACCCAATTTAAGCAACAGCCTCCACACCTCTAAGCTCTGTCTTTAGCATGAGGTAAACACCTGCCTAGGCCTTCCTAGCCTAACATTTCCTGAAGTCTTCAGGCCATTCTTTGTGGCAAGTGGAACAAAACACCCCACACAAGCCAGTGCAGCACACAGCCCTGTACCCATCACCCCACCCACAAGTGTAGTAAGTTTGCAACCATCTTTTTTCCAAGCCTGCAAAGTACTAGTCAAATCATTTATTTGTTCACAAGGTAACTCTAAACTTTCAGTATTTGTTTTCCTGACAGAATCACCACATTTTTAGGTTGAGATTGTTGAATGAAGAACAATACCAGAATCTACAGTGAGTTTGTGGTGTGTTGTGAAGGTCACTTGACTCATCTGTACAGGACTAACTGCTGGGACAAGAGGAAAAGTTCTAGTTCTCAAGGACAAAAAGATGAAGTTTATTCCTTGGTCTGAAGGTGCCAAAAGCAGAAGCAATTTCACTGCAACCCTCAGTTACACTAATTTTAAATACTCAGTTCAAAATCTTCAGGGTAACATAAAAATGTTTCCAGCTTTTACAGAAACAAATTGCAATAAGTTAATGCTGTTTGAACAGTGTTTAGATGACAGATATGCACAGATTATTGTGTGGCTGCAAATTCTACAAAGATACAGTGTCTGGACACGAAGCTGAGGAAATACCTGACCCCCCAAACCTCTGCTGTGCTCAGAACTCCTTATTTCACAGCTATTTCAAGGAAACAACAAAACACAGCCTAGATCTTGGGAAAGCAAGAGACACTTGGGAATCTCTTCACCAGGTCATACTTGTGCTTTCACTGTTTTCCTGGTGGTGTTCAACTGAGCAAGAGAATTCAGCACAAATCTCAACGGAAACAGGAGTTCCAAGTCCTCCAAGATAGGCATGAACTATGTCTGTAGAGGAGTGCTGAGAAGGGAATGAGAGGGAGGACAAAGCAGCTTCGATACAGAAGCAAAAAGGCAAAGGAAGGCAAAGAAAGTGATGGATCACACAGAGCATCCATCATCTCTCCCAGGTGCTGTACTTACCTTCCCAGATTTCCATTTGATCTCAGTTGATTTTGAGGATGGGTCTCCACTTTCATTGAGGTGAAACTCTTTGGAGAGAACTTTATTTTCAAAGTATGGATTCTCATCAAAATACTGCAGGGAGTGGAGAGCAGACAGTCAAAACCCACAGAAGGAACACACAGGTGCCAAGGCACTAAACTGCAGAGATCAAGGTACAAACTACGACCCAGTAATATGCAAGTACTTGAAAAACCCCAGAAAAAAAAACCCCAAAACACAAGTGAAGGAAACACTTAAAAGTACTTACAAAATCTATTCTGTAACCTGATTTGATGTCTTCAAATTCTGTCACCTCAACTCTGGTCAAATAATGCAGTGCTTCCTCATCTTCCTCTCCCAGCAGTGCAGATACTGAGACAGAATGAGGAATCCCACGTTAACAGAGCTACCAAACATCTCATGCAGCCAAACCACAGGAAACTGACACTCAAAGATCTCAACAGCAACACAGCTGCCCAAAACAACTTCTTACGACCCTTTTCTTTCTAGTTAGCAGCCAACACACTATTAGCATTTGTGACTTACATTTGCTGAGGTGAAAACATTATGTTTGCTTGTTGCAGTTCAACACTAAAAAATCAGCAAACGCTACTGACATACATCTACCCTTCTCTGGAACAGATTTTCATGCATATAGTTTGGCCAATCTCAGCAGTCTACAAACTTGTTTTGCAGCAAGTTTATTGTCAAGGGTCCTAAGCAGCTCATCTCCAATTTAAAAGAAAAAACTCAAACAAACTGGAGTCTTTTTTGTTTCAACTGAAAGGTGCCAATGAACTCAACCAAGTGGGAAATTTGCAGCTTAAAATGCACCACGAAATTTTAGGATTACAGTAGTTCAGCAAACAAGATGTTCCTTTGGTCACAAAAAGAGCTTATAAAATGCAACCTAAAACAGAGAGGAAATGCTCGGTATGCTCAGCAACAACTCTACAAGACCCTCAGAGCTGCCAGACACACACGTGACAAGCAAACAGTGAATTTAGAGGAGAAAAAGGAGAGCTCTTAGGAACATACCTTGTGGGTGATTGACAAATGTTGTTACCCAAAAATTGGGGATTTTGGCGATCAATTCTGACCTCTTCTGGAAGAAAGGTTGGCGAAGTTTGTTGTATTTCTGTTCTACTTTCAAAATTTCCTCACTGGCCTGTTCATTCAGTCTGTAACAAAGAGCCACATTAGCCACAGGGACTGGGATTTCAGGACACACCATCAGGAGTCAGCTCAAAGCTGAATGGCTTTGGGAAGACTGATCTGTCACATTCAGCAGGTGAGATATCCTAAAAAACACCCGAGGCCCAAAGCTGTGACAACTGTTAGGAAACACACTGCCAGCAGCAATGTCACTGATCTTACTGGGATGTTCTTCACACCCTGTGTGTTCTGCAGCATTACACCTTCGCTTATGCAAAGCAGTCACATTTCACCCCATAAACACTTTGTCTGCTAGAGACCTGCAATGGGCAACACACATCCCCAGCTCTCTGTACCTCTGGGGCAGGTAAGGAAGCTACAGCTGAAGAATTTTTCACCCCATGCAAGTACAAGCTGAAGATTTAACATTTACTTTGGCCTGTAAAAAGGCAAAGCCCTGACACTGTAACAGCTTCACACAGCCACAGCCCCAATACCATCACCTGCAGGACACTGGGCATGGAGAGATCCAGGCACAGACCCACACAGAACCCACAGAGCTTGGGGACATGAAACTCAGAGACACTTTCTGTGTGTTACTCTACAAGCACATGAATGTTACAATAATAAAGGATATTAAAAGCTAACTTTCCCACCAAGCTTACAGTGAAATACCTTTACAAAACAGCTCACATGTTACCTTGAAAAGCCAATATAAAATCCATTTCTATTATCAAAGCTACCACAATTCATTGAAAAATTTAAACTCAAGTTCTACCTTTTATTTACACACGATTAAGCCAGAAACCAGGATACTACTCTGTGCTTTTTAATGCCTCTAATCAAGTTGGAGCACAAGTACATCTTGGTGGAGTTCAAAGACAAAGTACTACCCAGTGCTTACTTGACTGAACATTTTTACTCTTGACAGTTACACTTTAATTTCTGCTAACACAGTTCAAAAACTGGATCATGTTTACCTGTCTATTTCATTCTGTACTTCATCAATGTGTTCAATTGCTTCCTGTTGCTCTTTTTCTGAAAGACAAACGAAGAGATGTCAATATCCCTTTCATTCCCAAGCCTCACACATCACCTCGGGGTTCACTCAGGACCTTTCCTAGGGATCTACTGAATAAAAGTGTCTGTGTGTTCATGCAATGTCACAAGCGCTACAAGGCCTTAAAGCATCAGCCTCTCACGGGGCTCCCTGGGGCTGGAGTGCAGTAAAGTTTGTCAGAACGGCCCTTAAAGTGAGTTCACCCCTAAAAACCACAGCTCGCCTCCCCTTACACACTTTTACGAGCCAACCTCAATTATAAGTCAAGCGTGACAGATGAATAACAGTTTAATTCAGCAGTTGTAAACCATTACTACGACCGACACGTTTGGGGGAAGGTTAAATAATTTCGGGAGGGCCGAAATGACCGAGATGTCAATAGCAACAGCACCGCCGAGTACAGGCACCTTGCAAAGCCCGGGGAGAACGCTCGGCAGGGCAGCGAGAAGCGAGAAAGCCTCGAGAAGCGCCGCTC